CAGGAAAGGACATTTTAATGTTAGAATGCTGTTGGAGATTTAGCTACCCTTTAATGTTCTCATATTTATGAAAACATTTGAAGGTCTAAAGTAGCTGTTTCCTTGAAAAAGACATGATAGTGTCATTAGAAGCTGAATTGGAAATTGCATTATTTTAATATAGTCAGTCGTGAACTGAGGTGGGCAAGTCTAAAGCCTGGTTTATACTTCTGCTTGAAGTAACCGGCGTAACCCACAGCGCATGCAATGCCCGTAGCTGTGCATTTTATACTTCTGCGCGCTGTCTCTGTTGGTCTGCATTAACACTTCCGAAACGCTAGTTGGCAGTGAGGTGTAAATGTTCCTCTGTGTCAAGTTTCTTCGCTGCTGTTTTGCTTTTCCTGAACACTTCCTGGGTGTACTAGTGGCTCAGACTCGCTCATTTTGAGGCAGGAACCGGCGGACGTGCAACAACTTAACACAAAACTAAACTTTCCATCCGGAGCTCCTTCACGGGACTCCACATTTGTAAACAATTGCTCTATTGGGCTCGCGCCATTCGCACGGCTCTCTGTCCCGCCCAGACTCGTCAGCGCTACCAAGCCGACCAATCACAGAGCTTGCGCTACGCGTCATTGCGACGTGTAGATACATTTATTTGAAAGGTGCACGTCAGCAACGCCGACGGCCACGGCGAAGGGCTATGCGTCAACGTCGTAGCATACACGTGCATTTGACGCAGAAGTATAAATTAGCTTTAAGGCTTGAAACTCCAGGGCTGAACAGGAGTCCCACACCGGGCCTGCTTTGAGTTACACATGTTGATCATTACACTGTCACAGCAGTGATTTTGTTCAGCAGCCATTATAACTTTTTTCATGACTGTTCTATTTTCAGCACATCTTTTGGCAAAAACAAAAAAGGCAAACTTATGAACCTGCTACGTAGAAATCTTGTAAAATCTTTCTTCTGAGATGTTATCTAACAGCTTTTCACATGATGTCAAAGCAGAACATTATCTTTGTGTTGAATGGTATTTTGAATTCTTGATTCTTTTTAGGGGTTCTAACTCAGAGTTTGAAGCCATCCTCGGGTTTAAGTCTTCGAGGACAGCTAGCCAATTATGTCTAGACTGAATGAGCAGGCAAACTTGCTTCCTAGAAACCTTGTACAATCTTCTTTGTGAGAAGTTATCTAACACTTTTTTTTCACTTGGATGTAAAAGCAGAGCATGACCTTTGTGATTTTGTTGAAGTCTTGATACTAGTCATGTGAAAAGAGCTTATGTATTCAAGTCACTGTTGATAAGAGTTTTGCTATTATATGTAAAAAAAAAAAAAAAAAAAAAGCCACAAATGTCATTGCAATCATAATTTTAACCACTAACTAAATATATTTTGGAAAATATAATTTTTTTTCCCTTCAATAATGAATGTCAATTGGATTCAGTAAAATTTGAGCTCCACTTTTAAACAGTTTATTAAATTCAACCTTTTCATCTGAATGCAAATATCTAATCGTACAGTCACATGGCAGCCACTCAGAACGTTTAGACATGGTCAAGATGACCTGCTGAGGTTTAAGCCGAGCATCAGAACGGGGATTTAAGCAACTATGAATGCGACATGGTTGTTAATGCCAGACGGTCTGGTCTGAGTTATGCAGAAACTGCTCATGTACTGGTATTTTCATATACAACTTTCACAAACAAAATAATTAGGGAAGACAGTTGAAATACTGGTATAAAAATAATTTCTTTTTTTAAGTTTATAGATACTGTAAGATAATGTACATAAAAAAAGTAAAGATCATACTTGTTATTTTACTGAACTGCAAGCTTAAATATATATTTAACTGCAAGATTTTATAGTATATACACTACCTGTCAACAGTTTGGGGTCAGGTTTTTTTTTCATGTTTTTTTTTTTTTAAGAAAATTGTTCTGTTCACCAAGGTGAAATTTTATAAATGTGTAAAAAAAAATAGTTTTTATTAAAAATTTTTATCACTTTTTATTAAAATTGTAATAACTGCTTTCTTATTGTATGTAGTTTGAAATTGAAATACTACCCCAGTTATTATTGCTTTTATTACTATTACTGTTAATAATAATAATAATAATAATAGTAATAATTGGATGTCACGGTGGTGCAGTGGGCAGCACAATTGCCTCTCAGCAAGAAGGTCACTGGTTTGAGCCCTGGCTTGGTCATTTGGCATTTCTGTGTGGAGTTTACATGTTCTCCCTGTGTTTGTGTGGGTTTCCTCCAGGTGCTCCAGTTTCCCTCACAGTCCAAAATACTTGCAGTACAGGTGACTTGCATAAGCTAAAATGGCTAGCAATCTGCATTGGCTAGATCACTGGTGACTGTGACAGAGCCCCCACCCCCATCCTGGAGCATAGAGCTACAGAGGGTCTGGAGTGTGGAGTTGCTGAAGGTTTGGAGCATGGAGCTGTAGAGGGCCTGGAGAGTGGAGCTGCGAAGGGCCTGGAGTGTGGAGTTGAAGTTGGCACAGGCGGGTCATACACCCACAGTAGGCCAGGAGGCTCTGGTTCAGGAAACACTGGCAGTTTAGCTAACCCCAGTGGGTCAGGAGGCTTAGGTTTAAGGGGCACTGGAAGTTCATATGACCACAGTGGGTCAGGAGGCTTGGGTTCAGGAGACACTGGCAGTTCATCCAACCCCAGTGGATCAGGAGGCACCAGCAGTTCATTTAACTCTAGTCGGTCAGAAGACCTTGGTTAAGGAGGCACTGGCAGTTCCATCAACCCCAGTGGGTCAGGAGGCTTTGGTTCATGAAGCACTGGCAGTTCATCAAACCCTAGTGGATCAGGAGGCTTTGGTTCAGAAAGCACTGAGAAGTCACATGGCTCTGGCGGCTCTGGGAAGTCACACGGCTCTGGCAGACAGTTGTGGAACTCAGATGTTGGCTCTGGCCTTTCGTGGGACTTAGGTGGTGACTCTGGCTTTTCATGGGACTCAGGTGGTTGCTCTGGCCATTTGAAAGATTAAGTGGGATCTGGTGCCTGCCATTTGAGGACCTCAAAGGGATCTGGCACCCGTCATTCAAGGGATTCAGAGAGTTTTGGTGGCGTCAGCTCTGGCAGCACTGGTGGCGGCTCTAGCAGCTCTGGAGGATCTGGCAGCTCTGGCAGAGGATCTAGCAGCTCTGGAGGTGGCGGTGTCAGCTCTGGCAATAACAGCTCTGGTGGTGGCAGCAGCTCTGGCAACTTAGGTGGTGGCGGCCATTTTTGTGACTCAGATGATGGTATATCAGGAACAAAAACAACAACCAGAAATATACCAGGACTATACTTGGAACAGGATATCATCTTCTACTGCCATTGGCAGATTGGCGCTTACCATCTTGTAAACTGGAGGGCTGGAGGCGGCCATTTTGCAAGCTGGAGGACTGGAGGCACCCATCTTGTATGTTTGCAGGTTGGTGGCAGCCATTTCAAGAGCTTGTAGTTTTTGGCTGCCATTTTAAGTAGTGACTGTGTGGTGGTGGTGTAAGTATCCAAAATATCAGACCCTGAGAACTGTTATGGAATTTCATAAGACAAGATGCAATGTTCCAATGCATTTTCTAATCTGAGAAGTGATGAAGAAACCAACTGTTCCACTGTTCTATTCAAATCACTGTTGACAATGCAAACACAGGCTGGAGAAACAGAGCTACACTACAGCAGGGGGTAATACGAAGAAGTCACCCTTCTCCTTCCACCTAAACCCCCCTTCTTGACCCTTATGTTACCTTCTGATTAGAGCACATTTCACATAAAATGTTCAAGGTTTTACTATGGTGTATCTTGCAGCACTATATTCATGTTTGGTATCATTTTAAATGTCTCTGTGTGATTGGTAAAGTAGTCTTAATTTTACAATAATATTTCACTGGTATATGTTGATTTGGTTTTTGACTTCTATAAGATCTTGATAAGATGCTCTCCCTCCTCAGAGATGGTTGAGTCCTCAAATTCACCAGGCCAGGGTTTCTGTGACACTTCTATTGTCTTGAATTTATGGCTGTTTGTTTTGACTTGAGTATATAAGGTAAGATGTGCTTTAGGTAGGGGGGAGATCTTGTAAAAAGACACCCCATTGCAGCATCTCTGAGACTTATGCTGCAATGTACTTCTCTGGTCAGGTATGCATCTATAATTCTTTGATTTATATTTGATTAATGGATGTTATATTGTTAGTCTCATCTCTGAATTGGCTTCCTGATGATTTATTATGTAATTGGCAGAATACAATTTTACTTGACAAATAAAATGTTAAGTTTTGATTAATTCTGGAGTTTTGCGAATTCCTTGTATCCAGTAGATTAGAGGAGTCTTCATTACCTTTATGTATGGCATAATTAAATTGATTAATAGGCACATTTGATTATACGTAGCCATAGAGAGCCTATAACATGTAGACCTTTTAATCATTTAACCACTGGAAGTAGCAAGTTGTAGGGGCTTGGCTAAGGATCTGTTTTTTAAGACTAGGTAAGCGTTAATGCGACTAGCTTATTCAAATATAGTTAATCCTGCATCCTCTGACTATTTTCATAGTGTCGACATATTGTCCGTGAAAAGATGCGCAAACCCGGGGCGTGGAACTCTGAGCGATGTTGGTCCCTAATGAACATACAATTAGAATTTCGGACCTCAGAAAATATCAAAACTCTAAATTAAATCATAAATGATGAATGTGATCCGTTCTTACAATTAGAAATACAATCTAAATTTTTAGATCATTGAAATTGGAGTCAGATTAAATTCGGAGCTAAAAAACTAATATAAATAAATTCTAATTCTTTTCAGAAGCACTAGAAAAGGCTTACATGCATTAAACCTTCAACCATGCTGTTAGTTTCGTCATTGGGCTAATAGATGGACTCCTACAGTGGAATGAGCAGCAAGCCCCGTTGCCAGCAAGTCCTGCTGTTCTTTGCCCCCTCCCAGCATACAACGTAAATAAACAAAGCAAGAATCAAAACCGACAAGGCAAGAAAAACATGTCGTAATGTTCACAATACTGTTTACAGTCATAGGGATCTTGGCCAGGTATGTGAGTGGTGCATGACGGGATATGTAGTTCTTTTGCTGGCAGATTTGTAGTTCTTCACCTGCATGAGCTAGATCGCTGGCGATTGAGACAGTGTCCGTGTGCATGTGTGCTTTGTTTGTTTGTATGTGTTGTTATGCTCCCGCCCACTCTCGATCACATTTTTCCTGTCCCGTTCCAATCACATGATTAACAGGGATTTTGTTTGCCCTCGCGTGGGATTCATGTGACATGCTGGATTCTCAGAAAATTGTCAGCATCTATTTTGGATTCCATTAAAAATACAACAAATATACCATGAACTCTCTCTCTGCCTCCCTAAACTAGTGATTCATCTGCCAAAAAGACAGACAAAAAAAAAATACAACTTTTACCATTTAAAAAAAATGGTAACACTTCATTTTGATGGTCCATTTGAGTATTTGTAGACGGTCTGCCTAATATCTGTTTATATGCTCCTTCAACAGACATTTAACTGACTATAAGAAACTTTGCATGTACATGTCAACTTACACTAACCCTAACCCCAACCCTAACCACCAACCTAACAGTCTACTTATAACTCATAACTCTGCCACTGCTATGCTGACGACCTCTAACTATATTTTCCTATTAAACTAGGAAAAGATTTATCATTAGAACACCTTTTCTCAGGCCCAATCGACATTAAGACTTGGATGACCAATAACTCTCTGCAACTAAATGAAAACAAAACAGAAGTGCTTTTATTGGGTCCGGCTAATACCAACGATTCAATTAAAACTCAGCTAGGATTTCTAAGTAGTAATCTGCACAGTCAATCCAAAAATCTCAGAGTAATTTTTGATTCACTTTTGCAGTTTGACAAGCATGTAAGTGCATCACACAGTCATCACTCTCTCGGTTACAGTTGGTCAAAAATGCAGCCACCAGATTGATAACAGGAACTAAGAAAAGAGATCATATTCTCCTGTCCTCGCCTCATTGCACTGGCTTCCTATAAAATTCAGAGTTGATTTTAAAATCTTACTTTTTACATATAAAGCTTTGCACAATTCTGCCCTGGCCTATGTCAGTGAACTTATTAGGCCATATACAGCTTGTAGACCATTAAGGTCCCATGATCAGTTTCTTTTGTCGATCCCTCAGTCTCGCTGCAAATCAAAAGGTGATCGAGCTTTCTGTGTTGCAGCCCCAAGGCTATGAAACAGTCACCCATTGAACATCAGGATTTCTCCATCCCTGGATACTTTTAAATCTAACTTCAAGACGTATTTTTACTCCCTTGCCTTTGAGTGACTCATACATGTAATTTCTATACTGTGTTTTATTATTACATGTATACATATATTTCCTTTTCTAACATTTTTAATACGAGTTTTATTTTTCTTGAATATTTTATCTCATTGTAAAGCACTTTGGATCAACTACGGTTGTATAAAATTGTGCTCTATAAATAAAGTTTGCCTGGCCTATAACTTAAATTCAACAAACAGACCATCAAAATAAATTGTGACCAAAGCAATTTTAATGTATTTTAGTTAAATAAGCTCTGAGAATTGGGAAAAAAATCAGTGGCAGGTTTGTGAGTTGCAGTTACTTTTTAAAATATATTTTATTCATCTTGTGGAGGGAAAAAGTACTCATAGCTATCCTGAATTCTCTGGGCTACAAAAATAATCATATTCTAGAAATCCGATTTTGCATCAGTCCTACACCATTGCATTGTGGCTGCAGCTTTTTTGCAATGACAAGGATTTCATCAGAAAATATAAAAATGCCATTGTGAAGCAAGTCTTTCCCCTAACGGTTGGTGAAAATGAGTATGCTGAAATACACTTTATTCTCCTCTTCACAAAGATGTGAAGTAGATTTCACATCTTTGAACTGCCTCAATCATCAGAGCAAGGGAAAAAAAGGAAGAGTGTAATTTGGAGATGTCTTCCCTCCTTAACCCCCAAGCAGTAATGTTAGCAGTTCTTTCAAGGCCCCTTTTCATGTCTCATGTGTGTGTGTGTGTGCATATTTATTTTTTTGGAGTGAAGTGTGCGTGCTCCACATATGGGGCATGTGCGTGTGTAGTGCGAACTCACTGTAGCGTGAGGTCTAGCAGTCTGTTCGGTCAAAAGGTTTATAGCCTGATTATAGACTACGCCCCAGCGCTTCAGAGAAGGAGACAGGGAAGGACAGCGAATGAGACAGGAAATGTAAACTATTTGATCCACGATCACCCTTAAGCGAGGTGAAGAGCCCTAAAATGCTGATAGTGCTGACGATGATTATGATGCTGATGATACGAGAGGCAATTTATCAAGACATTTATGATGAAGTCATGGATGTAAAAGCGGACATGCTGAGAAAGCTGAAAGCAGCTGGCCAGACGCAAACATCAAAAACAGACCATGTGCTGTCCAGACACACTCCAGAAACACTTCAAACACAGAGAGCCAAATGAGAAAGTAAGAGAGGACAGGAATGGGGGGGGAGCATGAAAGGTCAATCAGAATGGGGTCAGTCATTGCACTGCAGTCCGGTTAAACCAACACAGCCAGATGTACTTGCAGGAGAGACACATAGATGTTGCTTGTGCTTGTCTGTCAGGTTTATTGGTGAGGTTCTTATCTTGTCTTATCTCTCATCTCTTCTTGTCTTTCCCCGTTATGATCTGTTCTCTGTTCTTTTGTGACCACGTCTCATCTTATATCACCTCATCTCTACATTTCACCTTTTCTTTTCACCTCTTCTTTCTTTACTTCTCTTTTCATCTTGCCTCTTCATATTTGATCTCTTTTTCTCAGCTTACGTCATCTTTTATTCTCTCGTTCCACTCGTAGTCTCCTATCAATATTTTTAATTGCCTCTTCTCATCTCATTATCTTGTCTTGTGTCATTTCCTATCTTCTCTTTCCAGATCCTCTCTAGGGCTTTTCACACTTAACAATATTTTGATTCATGTTTCACACTCCTACCTGGGGTTAACATTTAATCCAGAGTATGATGATTCACACTGTAAAATCCTAAACCTTGAAATATTACCTTATTGTCAGTCAGTTTTGTCTTTCAGCAGTTTGACATATTTCCCTTCAAATGCTAAATCAACTGCTAATATATAATACACAATGCTTTTGTGGCAGCCCGAGGCAGATGAATTTGATGCTTGTGATTGGCTATTGTTCACTAAGTATATTGAGCTGTAACATTCTAACATTTCATCATTCACACAGCACGTGTCTGGCACAACATAGTAGGATAAACACTGTTGTAGCGAATTAGCTCAAAGGGAAGAAGAAGATCCATTTGAATTGGGCTATAAAAGAATCGACTCTTTAAATCCGAACAAACAAATCATTCATCAATCATTCAAACCGACAGTTTACTTTAATTACGGCTATTTCTATCAAAATTAAAACCCATTTATATTTAAGTAGGGTAGCAGGATTTAAGTGTAAGACATTAGATTCATAACTATGCACAGGCACCTTTCTTTATACAAAATTAAACTTTATTGAATAATCTAACAAAAACTAACACCTCATTCATTAAAAAAAAGAATGATTAATTAATTCTTATGTAATAAACCCTTTTCATAAGCCTGTTATGATTCATTTAACAGTCGTCAGCATCTTAAATCCTTGAAAGTTTTTAATATTTAGATTTTTTAAATGTATGAACATTTATATATATATATATATATATATATATATATATTTAGAGTTGAGGTTAAAATTATGGGTTAGGGTTGAGCTGCCAGTAATTGCTTTTTAGACTGTACATAAGTGCACTGTGCTTGAGAATGCACATCCATACTATACTGACACTAAGGAAAAGAAGCTCTTGAGAAAAGTTGTTATTTTTGTTTAATGTGTGCAGAAAATTGTTCTTATATTTTCACACTGTTCCAATTAAACACACATGGGCTGTTTGGTCAACGATTTAGGACTTTGAATCAGTATTTCATTGAAATTTTTAAATCTTAATTTGTGTTTTAAAGATGAACGAAGATCTCGGGAGATTGAAATGTCATGAGGTTGTGCATTTACAAATAACAGCATTTTCATTTTGTGCTGAACTAACTCTTTGAGCACAGTGTGAAGACCTAACTATTTCCTGTCTTCTTTGACACCATGTTTTGCTCTCATCTTTTGTCCCCACATTTCATCCCTTTGTTTCATCTCACCATGTTTTATCTCCCATCTTCTGATCTTGTTTCATTTCCTATTCTTTAATCATTCGTCCCTTCCTGCCGTCTTTTTCATTTTGTCTTTTTAATGGCAATTCTTTTCTAATCTTCTTTTCTCCACTCCTCTGACATCACCCAGTTTTCCCCCTTTTCCAGTGTTGGTTCCTTGTTATGAAAAATTAATTCCTGAGATTCTCTCCCACTGTGTCGCTCTATTGCTCTCTCTCTTTTACTGTCTGTCTGTCTCCATGTCTCACCCCTACACTGCCATGTTTACCCGTTGCCATGACTTCTAGACAAGTGGATGAGTGTGTGCTTGTGTATGTTTGTTTACGTGGTGACAGGCTAGGATTGGGGGATGGATACGCATATGCTGTGTGGTCGCTGTGAGATTTCATACATGTGTGTGTGTGTGTGTGTGTGTGGAGTTGGCGTCCTGTTTATCCACATTGAGACTTCTGGCAACTCTTATCTGCTGCTGTCTCATGATGATGATGTAATGCTGGTGGGAATGAGAGGGGAATGATGTTGTATCGACACTGTGCAAACCTCATTAAATCCCTCTGCTGAACACTGCCGGTGCTGACACCCAGCCACAAACTACAAGAGGCCAAACCCAAAGAGACACAGATCATCCCATAGAAAATGAATGATGTACTAAAAGGAGGTTGAGCAGGAGCATGTTCATCTAATCCTGTCCTTCAGAACATCACCGTTTACTGTATAAACAGCTGCTTACCAAATGTGTTTACCTTCAACTCGCTCATGGATTATGTAAAAATGTGAACTCATAACAAATGAGACACAGCTTAAACTGAACAGGAGTACAAATATCCCACC